CTGTCTGTCTGTCTGTCTGTCTGTCTGTCTGTCTGTCTGTCTCACTTTCTCTGTCTCTCACCTTGTTGTCCCTGTAGTAAGCACTGAGGTCCTCACAAGCCACGTCATGGCACTCGCTGACACTGTACAGGTTCACGTAGCGGACCCACGGCAGGGTTTGGATACACCGCTCTAGCAGGGATGTGGTCACTACCTCGCCACAGAACCAGATCTGTCTGTGGAGATAAGATCATATTAAGATACGATAAGATAAGATAAGATACTCTACAAACCGACACACACACTCACACACATACACACACACACACACATACACACACATACACACACACACACACACATACAAACAAACATACGTGTTTGGGTTAGAGCTAGTGTTGGAGTTGGAGAAAAGGGAAGCAATAGACACAATAAATGCCATTTAGTGCAGGGAAGAAGTAGAAGAAAGACAAATGGACAGAAATAACAGAGGGACAAATACATAAGTATGTAGAACCTACCAGCAGCACCCGAAAACGGACCGGCATTAATTCATTTCCTTCCGTAAACAGCATTTCACGTTTCTATTTCATCTCTTGTTCTCCCGACTCTTCGACTCATACACACTGATACTCTCCATTCACTTTCTAATCGGAAATTATTTATTTAATCCCTGGAAAGGGTGTAGTTAAAGTTTTTAACTGATATGATTGAGTAAAAGCTGTATGGAATTAAGCACATTTTAGCACGAAGAAGAACTACAGCAGGACAATACAAGAGCATCACATTCTGTGATCAGGTTTGAAGACCTATTGATAATGTGAAAAACCTGCCTCCTGGCGTCATGCAGTGATTAAATCTCCTGAATGAAAATGAAAACACTGCATTATGCAAGTTTTGCTGCCAAATTAAGAATACGTTACTGCAGTAGCAGGACCTGTCATTCAAAAGGCAGAGTAAAAAACATAACAATCACTGCATAAAAATCTACGCAAAGAATCTATGTTACGCTGGTTCCACAGAAGAGCACAGGAAGTCAATCTTTATAATAAAAAAATATCTACGTCTAGACCCTCAGATCCCCATTTTGCAATACACATCCGACAGACGTTGTTAGATAGTTTGATTCTGCGACCAATCCTATATCTCTGAGATTGGCCCGTCTGAGATTGTACTTTGTGACGAAATACTTTCCCGGAGGACGCACTCAAAGTGACCCAATTACACCAAGAGTCACGTCAAAGGCACAGAGCTGGAATGCAGGACAGAGAGCGTACTGGCAGCAAAAACATAATATTATTTTGCCTGTCAGTTTCGTGTTATGGTTTAGAAAGAAACAGGGCAGTTTAGGATAGGCACAACCAGCCATTTAGATTAATTTTTTTTTAGCGAATTGAATGATAAAACATCGAGAGCGGTGTCTTTAAGGGCCCATAACACTGCCTTTGCCCGTCACCACACAAAGACAAAACACTGTGGTGTCTAAGAATTTCAAAGTTCTATCTGACATGTTACACGTTTTAAGTTCCGAAAACCATGAGGTCAGAAACCAATTACTGTTCTAACTGCTCTATGAAAATCGTAAGATTATTCGGAGTCATTTTTAAGATATTCAAAGAAGTACATTCGGAAAAGATTGACGTGTTGTAAAACTCAAAATTTTTTAAAGTCAAATTTCTCACAACTGCTTGGTAAAGACAGATAGAACTTTGTAATTATAAGGTAGCGAGTTGATAACGTGCGTCTTTTACCACTTCTGTGGCTCGAACAGTTCCCACGAAAAGCTCCCCTTCGATCATACTTGTTAGGTATAATTCACGTTACTTCGCTAACACGGCTGTCGCAAAGCTCAGCTAATAATAA